ACGCGTTAGGATTTACAGTACGAAACCGTTGATTTCCTCCTTATTCGCAAACAATTCCTAATTTTAAAGGGCGAAAATAGTACCTATACACAATACAATCACTTCGCTCACGGCACTACTGATTGCACTAGTTGGTGAGGTGCCAGCTACCCTTCTACTGATCAAGCGAAGTGGCAGCTACGCCTTTAGTCTTGCCTCGTGCTGTTGCCGCAGCTGTGATGTCAGCTGCGTGAGCCCGCGTCGGCGCCGCCGGTGCACTTTTCTCTCCCCCGGAGAAGGCGACTAAGGTGGGCATGATTCGTTATAAGTTATCACACTTTGTGCCCTCTCCACAGCCTACGCAAGCATCATTAGGAGCTTGTGGTGGGAGTCCAAGAAAAACGCACAAACTTTTGACAACCTAATATCTGTCCCCTCGGAACAACAAAACGGTGGTGCCGCTCTTCACCGCAACAGCTTTACCAAGAAATCAATCGTGATCATCTGTGTTAATGAAAGGATGAAATAATGGTGGAGTGATGAATTTGCTGCAACTAGCTGAGCAGCTAGGAGCTTTTTTCAGAAGGCTAAAGGATGAAAGTGTGCAGCGCGCTGCGCGACGACGTCACAGCATGAGTCACACACATGGTGGTCTTAAGTGATCTTCACGAAAGGGTTTTGGCTCGGTTCAGGTGTCCCATGGTGATTTTTGTTTGATGGGGGATTCTCACCTTGTCAACTTCTGCTGCACGTCCATTCAAGAGGTTTCCTTCATATTTATCTGTGTTGTGTGCCCGTTCGATTGAATGGCTCGCCGGGGTATTTTAAGACGTGGAACAGATCTAAGTTAGAATTACGAGACAAAGAAGGATTTGGGACAATAGAAGCTATTCTCCTTGGTGTTTTGACCAGTTTATGATTTACGACGACCTTCGCTCTGTTGAGAGGTATGCAGCAGGATTCCGGATCTATTATATGTATATACCAACACACGAAAACGCACGACCGCATCACGAGCGGCTTCTCGATTGGAGGGTCCATCAACATGACGAGCCCTATTCTGTCTTTATTCTTGTTTAGAAAAATGCTCGTCGCTCAGAGGTATTGTAGCAAAACAAGGAGTGAAAGGAAACATAAAAAATGATGAACTAGTCGGTATCCACGTACTTTTGTTACACGGAAAAAAGTTCCATCAACAATGAGTCTGATAAAATGGAACGAAATCATTTGGCGGACGTAGCATTGTTAGATTAACGTATACGAGGAGTTCGGCTGTAGAGGTTTCGTGGCAGGAAAGCCTTCAATTGTTCACTGAAAAGTGATTTTAGGAGTGTCTACATGAAGTCCATGAGGAGCTAGTTGGTGAAAGTTTCGCACAGTATAGCAGTAGTCGTTTCTTTGGTTGCATTCGCCAGCGCCTTTGCTGTCTATCGAATCAGATTAATGGGTGCATAAATTTTTCAGGTCACAGAAATATACCCATAAAAAATGCAGGGCGAATTGAGTAATGCGCTAGCTAGTGAAATTTTGAGTTCAAAGCCCGATACGTGTGGCTGAAGGATACAATATGATGCGCGTGTAGCGTGGGGAAGAATTCTGGTAGGGGTTGGAAGTCAACCATGATGACTAATTTTAATAGTTCTATTATGCCTATAAGAATAAGCGTGCAACCACTGGCCTTTTTTCTACCCATTGAACATTTTCACAATTTGAAGGCAAATACTACGATGAAAAGCAGCTCATTGGAAATAAGGGTAGAGGTGGTCAGTGGAGCAGGGATGAAGAAGAAACCATTTGAAACGGCCTCGAAACCCGAGAAATGGGACCCCTTCTTTGCTTCATTTGC